AGCAAAGCCCAACCGAACAATGATATCTTCCATGAGAAGCCGTTGTTGGTCATCCATGTCGCAATCCAAGATCCATCGTTGATGAACCATTCACCCTCCAATCTACTTCGCATGCCCACAGCGTCAAGAAAGATCGCCCAAAACATATTGATCAGCTACATCACCAAAAAAATGATAATCTGAAGAGACGAAACCACCCACAAAAGAAGCACACGGTTGACCGAAGAAGACTCCAGGAAGAAACAGATCTTGAGCCCCTATGTTGAATGTTCCCCGCCTTCAAGTTACCCAAAACTGAAACGTTCATCTTCTAAGAAGAGGAAGGGAGAAAAGCCCCAAGAAGCAAGTGCAAAAATCAGGAAAAATAAAGTAACGAAAGCTAAAACATAAAATCTGGAAATAAACAGGGGGAGGGCCACCGTCGGTAGCTTGGAGGCGCCGGCGACAGCCCTATGCACAAAACAGAGGACTGAAAAGTTATAGTTTAGGGAGAAAACAAAGCTTTTGAAATTTAGAGACAGAGAGTTTATTATATTTAGTAAGTGATCTCTATAGATGTTAGGTTTAGTTAGAAAAAAGAATGAAATATTAAAGTTTTACTTTTATTCCAACTATTCTTATATTACATATATTACATATATAACATATTAGTGTATGCACTCGTAAAAAAAAAACATATTAGTGTATGCTAGGGTTGATAAAATAGCTGAGTTTAGTTAACAAATGTGGAACCAAAGGTTGTTATTGTATTTGCATGTAACCGGAACGAACTTTCAGTATTAATGAATTCAATATATGGCAATAACTATGGTACTGCCACTGCATTAGTGTCGTCATTATATTAACCGTGAGATAAACCACATTAAATCGTGACCTTTGATTCAGACCCACCACTTAACCCGAACAGGTTGAATCTAGTACCTTTGGTTTACTCCTTTTCGGGATTTTTTCGTTTACCCAAAACAGAGAGATCGTCGAATAGTTTACCATCTTCTTCCACTGATCGTCGGGGAGCCAACACCAGCGGCCGCTATCGAGTTTTGGACTGTTTCCATGGGATTTGAAAATAATATCAATTAAACTTTGTTCTATTTCTCCTACGATTTGACTGTATCTCGGTATCATCATCCCCGTCGCCCCTGGAGTTATTTTCGGTGCGATGGTTGAGCCCACGACAGGGATGACCTGGCTCTTATAATTACAAGAATGGAAATGAATTATGAGGAAGTATAATGGCGGTCAATGTGTACTGTGCACTATTAGGCAAGATTATGAATTTATGACTGTAGGGAAAAAATTCAGGAAATTTTATCAGAATCTCGGTGGTGATGGCGGTCGGCCAACGACAACGGCGACGATAGTGGTGCTGATTTGGATGCACGGAAGCACGGCTTAGGATAGGGTCAGTAACCATTGGTTACTGACCTATGAGTAACTAAATCTAGACCTTTAAATCTAAGTGGATTCAGAAAATTAAGATCTAAGGGTTGTTAATAATTTTATATATACTAGCTTATAACTCGGCCTGTTGGTCGGAATATTCGTATTTGAGTATTTATATTTTTATATTAGGTTTAACTCTATCAATCCGTTTAATGTTATTGACAATCCTTCGATCGAGATGATATAAAAAAATGAATGTATAGGTCGAACATTTGAAGAAATACCATCATCATGTAAGAATATAAAATATAAAAATATATCATTAATCTCATTTCATAATGATAATTAAGCCCTCGTTAAAATGCTTTGGTTAATTGATTGTTAGGAAAGATAGAGTATAAAAGCCTACTTCCCACACGACCCATAGATAATTGGAAACTAAAACTTAAATCTCACAATCTTACATAAAAAGGTTCAATGCTCTCTTTTTAGTAACAACATGCCACTAATAAAAATGGTGATCTTATTTTATCGTTTCAATAGCTAAGCAAAGAACAAAAAAATATAGCAAACAAACAACCCAGAAGGTAGATAGGGCGCTAGGGAAGTACAACTGCCTCTGTTCTACACAAACATTGATTTGATTTCAAACAAATATAGCACCCAAACCACCGTTCAAATTCCTTTCCTATATTTTATAAATCAATCACAGACAACTTAGATAAACTGGGAAGAAAATTATAGCTTACCAGGTCAACTCAATGAGCCTTCTATGAAGATAGAAAGCTCATTGAAGTTGAAACTTAAAAACAAAAAGAGGAGCAACGACGCAAGATATTCATCTGGCTTCAACATCATATTAGGAAATAGGATAAAAAATAGATTTTCTGCATGTTCTGCTCATGATATAACCTGAAAATAAAGGTCACTTTGTTATTAATCAGAAAGATAAAACCACGAGACAAAGAGAAGAAAGGAATGACTTACATTTGTAAAGCGATTAGCCTTGGACGAAGACAAAAACCCATTCAAGTTCAAAGTCTGGTATAGGAAGAGGAGTAAAGGAGGAAGTTATAACTAATCAAACATCGTCTTCAGCAATAAAAGTAGCAAAATAGTTCTTCTAGTAGTTCATCGATAGAGGAGAGAGAACAATTGGGCGATGCTAGTGCGTAGGAATCGAGCGAGATAGGCAAGACCCTAACTACTTGATTGAACTACATTCTATTTGTCATGGACTTATATCGGAATTGAAAACTTCTCTTGCCCTCAATCCCCAACAATCAAATTGTAGTTCTAAGAGATACCAGAAGATTGATTTTCATAGGCGACCTTGTAGTGGGAAGTGAAAGGGAGCAAACTATTGCACTATGAAGGGAGTTTCAGAGGAGCTTAGGGAGGGATAAGAACAATGATAAAAATGGCGAAAATTGTTTTAAATTAAAAAGATGCAAGTACACAACAAATAGTAAAATGAATAGTTTCTTCCTTGTTAGTCAACTACCAATTTACCCTTAGCAAAAATTAAGAAGAGAGTAGAAATATTAAAATGGAGAAAGTTACATGAAACTCTACTATGAAAATCAATGTATCAAGCACTATAAATATACTTACAGGAGTCTTAGTGGGTTAGCTAATCATATGATGTAAAATTACTCCGGTTTTTAGAGTTCAAATTTGTCTACGGTTTGTTTTCAAAAAGTTAAAACAAATTTGTTTAGTTTAATTGGTTATGCTTACTGTCTTTGCTTGAATGGATTTTGGTTCAAATCTTGATATTGATATATTTTTATATGAATTAATAAGAAATTGCAAAGACTAAATGTCCTTTCTACTTACACTATAGTTGAATGAAATTTGAAATGAAGAAAAGTATACGAAACTCTGCTATATATATATAAACGTTATTAATGATTAACTGCCTTATAACCAATAACAATTTTCACCGGGCCTGGCTCTCGATGAAGACAGAGGAGAAGGATAATTCTAGTTTATGCAAAGTGAAAGGAATATAAAAAAAGGGTTAAAGACACATTTGGTCACTGAGATTACAAAATCGGGACATGTTTAGTCACTAGAAAAAGTTAATATCAAATTTGGTCACTACAATTACTAAAATTGGACACATTTAGTCACTCGCCGTTAGTCTCCGTCCAACTCCGTTAATGAAGTCCGTTAAGTGCTGATGTGGCAAACAGAATTGCCTAATCAGCCGGATATAACCCAATAAAAATAAAACCCAACCCGCCACGTCATTAAAACCAACCCAACCCAACCCAACCCCACCCAACCCTTCTTCCTTCTTCAATCTTCCCCCAAATCCCAACCCACCCAGAAAACCAAAAAAACCCCTTTCCCACTTCTCTCCACAACAATCTGAAACTACAATCTCCGATGGATTGTCTCTCTTTGTTGATAGCTTCTTCCACCTACCGTACCAATCTTGCGCAACTACATTTCAGGCGTGCGTGAAGGCAACGAAGCAATTCGAGGAGCTCTCTTCTTTCTACAATTTCTGCAAATCGATGGGCGTGAGGAGGGCATCGGAGTATCCTAACATTAAGAAGATCTCCGGGGAGCTAATTGGGACGTTGCAGGAGTTTCTGAGAGACCAAGCTTCGTTTCCAGCAGTGGCTGGTGGTGGCCCGTCTCCATCGCGAAGACCGGAGTTGGAGGAGGAAGAGGTTGCGGCGGAGGGAATTTCATCACGCGCTCGTCAATTGTCATCGTTGGAGGATTTGATGGGACTCGCCGGGATGGAGGAGCAAGAGGTAGAGTCGCCGATGTCGTCAGAGAATAAGGACATGATCGACGCAGGCAAAGATATTGTGTCGTCGAGCTCGTTCTCATTCGATCAAGGGACGAGAAACACAAAGGGTAGTAGTGCTCTAGATTTGTTGTCGCTGGACGATTGGGATCTGGAGGATTTGAAGCTAGAGAATGAACAGATTTGGGGGAAGAAATGTATCAGAGGAGACGAACAGATTTGGTGAGGGATGGTGAAGGATTGGTCTGCTGGGTTAGGTCGAACAGGTTTGCGGGAGGAGGTGGGAGGAAGGAGGAGAGCGGCGGCGGCGGTGGTTTTGGGGAAAGAAGGAGGTGGGAGGTGTCGAGGTGGGAGGAAGGAGGAAGAAGGATTGGGTCATGGGTTGGGTTGGGTTGGTTTAATGACGTGGCGGGTTATAATGACGTGGCGGGTTGGTTTTTATTTTTGTTGGGTTATATCCGGATGATTAGGCAATTCTATTTGCCACATCAGCACTTAACGGACTTCATTAACGGAGTTGGACGGAGACTAACGGCGAGTGACTAAATGTGTCGTAATTGTAGTGACCAAATTTGATATTAACTTTTTGGGTAAATTGCAAGTTTGGTCACTGGAATTACTTAAAAATTTCACGTTTGCCACTAAAATTAATTTATTCCATCCGTAGTCACTTGAATTAGTTACACAATCCAAATTTGGTCACTCTCCGTTATCTTCCGTAAGACTCCGTTAGTGCCGTCAGTTAACTGCTGATGTGGCAAACAGAAAATCCCAATCAACCTAATTTAAACCTAAAGAAGATGACCCTACCCTACCACGTCATTTTGACCCGACCCGACCCTTAATCAACATGACATACAAGGAACGACGAGTCCAGTGGACTTCCGGCATCGTCCGCAGTTCCCCCACCGCCACATTCACCCTCGACCTCTCTCTGAGATCTAGACGCATCTTCACCGCCAACCCGGCCAACATGCAACACATCCTCAAGACCAATTTCCCCAACTACCAGAAGGGCTTCGATTTTCACACCACTCTGTTCGACTTCCTTGGCGACGGGATTTTCAACGCCGACGGAGACACCTGGAGCTGGAAGTCCCAATGCCAGCTCTCCAGTCACGAGTTCAACACCAAATCCCTGCACAAGTTTGTAAAGATCGTTGCCGTCATCGAGCTCTCCACCCGCCTAATCCCCACCCTCTACACCGCGGCCACCAACAAAGCCACGCTCGATTTGCAAGACGTCCTTCAGAGGTTCGCCTTCGACAACATCTGCAAGATCGCTTTTAGTTACGACCCGACTAACTTGGCTCCGACCCTTCCCGAGGCACGATTCGTCGACGTCGACGCGTTCGAGAACGCGGTGAGGATTATCAGCGGGCGATTCAATTTGGGGGTTCGACAAATTCGGAAGATCAAAAGATTTCTAGGGATCAGATTTGAGGCGGAGCTGAAGGAAGTGGTCTCCGAAGTCGGGTCTTTCGCGATGAAGATCATCCGAGGGAAGAAGGCAGAGCTGAAACAGAACGAATCCGACGATTCGATCGATATACTCTCTCGATTCTTGAACTCTTGCTGGAAAGGACACCACCCAGCCGCTCAATCAGACTCCGACGAGTTTCACTCAGTACTACAGGGCGTTGCTTCATTCTAGAGGGTTTCTCCACTCCGACCAGCCAAGCATCTAATTTTCTGACCATGCGACAACTCCCGAAGCTGGATTCAAGAAAAAGACGACCTCTCTACTGTCGCCGACGACCTAATGACTCAACAACTTTGCCTCTCCCGGGGATTGGGGATTTGGATCTAGAGTTGTTGGAGGACAAGTGCATATATGTCAATTTTGGCTTCTTCTTCGTCGGAAAGTTCTTGGAAAACAACGGCGGCGAGATTTTGCAGTTGGGCGAAAGAGAAGAATAGTAAGGCTCGGGTCTCAAGTTGATTCAAGGGCTTGGTTGTGCAATATGACGTGTCGGGTCAAAATGACGTGGTAGGGTCGGGTCATCTTTTTTTAGGGTTAAATTAGGCTGAGTGGGATTTTCTGTTTGCCACATCAGTAGTTAACTGACGGCACTAACGGAGTCTAACGGAAGGTAACGGAGAGTGACCAAATTTGGATTGTGTAACTAATTTAAGTGACTATGGATGGAATAAATTAATTTTAGTGGCAAACGTGAAATTTGTAAGTAATTATAGTGACCAAACTTGCAATTTACCCTTAACTTTTTCTAGTGACTAAACATGTCCCAATTTTGTAATCTCAGTGACTAAATGTGTCTTTAACCCTAAAAAAAAGTACAAATTGAGAATGGAAAAGGCCAGATCTTAGAAGGTGGAACATCACAATCCCAGATCATTAAGATGTAGATAGTTGGAAAATACAGCTAGCTGCTGGGTAGCTTGTAGCAACAGTAATATATAGATACAAGAGATGAAGAGAAGTAGTAATTTGCAAGTTTTCCGCCATATTGTTAGAAAGAATGACAAATTTATTCACATTACTTAATTATTGTTTGTTTGCTCTGAGATCCCTTTCCACTTACATGCTTTTAAAGGCATGTTTGTGCAAAATAAATGTATAGAGTTATGTTTGTTAATTTGTAATAGTAGAGGATATAAAAATGCTACTATCACTGTTTTTAATCGAAAAATAACGGGCAAATGCCAAATTTGGTAATTGGGTTTACTAAAATATGTCATGTTTAGTCACTGAAAAAGTTAATATCAATTTTGGTCACTCGAATTAATAAAACGATCCTAGTTTAGTTACCCTCCGTTAACTTTATCTGATGTGACAGTCAACCCTAATAGTTGACTGCTAAATGTCCGACGTTGCAATTAAAAAATTAATTTAATTCTTTTAATATTTTCACATCACTACAATAAAAACTAAAATAAATAAAACCAAACTTTGTAATCTTCTCCCCAAACTTTGTTACTGCTCTTCCTTTTCTTCATTAGAAGAAAGCTGCCGACCCTCCATTGGACCCTCCCTCCCCGCCGAGCAGTCCTCCCCAACCTCCCCTCCATGACCTTTGACCTGTACTTAGACGGTAAGGCCAAAGACAATTGATTTCATGGGTTAAGGATTCCGAACAACATCTGGGTTTAGGGTTTCTTCGATTTATTTACGGGTTTAGGGATTTGAGACAACAATTGAGGGACTGATGGAGCGATTGAAGGGTTTAGGGTTTAAAAAGAGCGAGCGAGGGTTTCGTACATCTTCTTCCTTCCTGGATTTCCTTGACGACAACGTGAAGGGAAGGGAGGACGCCGGCGATTTTGGGTCGTGCTTTTGAAGAGATCGATGGAGGGATGACACTGGCGTTTGCGAGGTCGTCATAGATAGCGATGATTTACTGGACTACCCATCTTGAAGCAGCCGTCCCCATTTTCAGAACGAGCCGCTGGCCGTGATCGGAGGTGGGTACCGATTCGGAGGGACTGGCTACGGCAGCGGTCCATGATTCCTTTCGGGAATCCGATGAAGTTCTTGACGTCGATGGTGGTGATTTATCAGGGGAAGGGTTTTTATTTATTTATTTATTTATTGTTTTTAATGATGTGGAAATATTAGAAGAAATCAATTTATTTTTTGTTAAATTTTTAATTGTCAAGTCAGATATTTAACGGTTTATTGTTAGAGTTGACTGCCACATCAGATAAAGTTAACGTAGAGGCTCCATAACCCGCGCTGAATTGACGAGGATTATGGCCTAAAAATCACTTGGGATGCTGGCGTTCGTCAGGTGGTACTACAAACTTACTCAAGTATAGCAATTCAGTTGTTGCAGTCAGCCACGATAAGACACCCGCACTACTTATTGGTCGCGGCAGCTCGGAAGCTCCTTGCGTTGGAATGGCAGGTCTCAATCCATTCTTTTTGTTTGGAGGATCATTCGTTCTTTACTCTTTTGATATTACCCGCAGCGAGCGCAGCAACCAAGGTGCATATTATCATATAGAAAGAAGCGAAGCATAACGATTCGTACTACCGGAAAAGTTTCGCTAACCGGCAGGCAATAGAGCCCTAAATGACTAAACGTGAACCGTTTTACTAATTAGAATGACCAAATTGATAATAATATTTTTCAATTGCTAAACATGACACATTTTAATATATTCAGTAACCAAATTTGACATTTGCTCAAAAATTAACAAACGAGAAACGAACAAATGCCGGTCAAATTAAAAAAAAAAAAAAAACAAATGCCGGTCAAATAACATAATCACACGTCCATAACAATGCCGGCCAAAGGCCGGTCGAAATGATATCATTATAAGTGTGATTTATTTTTTTAATAAAAAAGTTAAATGTCCTATGTCCTTTAGCGGTAATTAGTTTCTGCTTTCAAGGGTAATCAACAGGAAGAACCCCCGGCGATGATCTATAAAAAAAACCAATTCAGAGTTGGCCAAGTTAATCAATTTCTTGGAGAGCATTAAAAAAATAACCAGAATCAGGGAGAAAAAATAATGGCCACCACCGATGTAGGCTATGATCGGCTGGCGGAGCAGAAGGCATTCAGCGCAACAAAAGCCGGAGTGAAGGGCCTAGTGGACGCCGGAGTCAAAGAGCTACCCCGGATGTTCCACGCGCCGCCGCATTTCCTCAACGGCAGACCTCCCGCGTAAGAGACAAAAAAAGTCTAATATATGTTTCAACCTGCGCAAACTAAAATGTCTAATGGTTTGGCACCATACAAAATAACATGCTTAAGAGTTGTTTGGTTGAAATAGTTACAATGCAAACATTACCCATAATGTATTGTTTTTTTTTTAATTTTCTGCACAAACAATACATGCATTGTTTGCTTGACGTGATGAAAACTATCACTCAAAATGAGTGATAGTAATATCTCTACTAAACTTGAGATTGTTGAGATAGTTTTGAGAGAATTGTTTGGTTCCTTTTTTGCTCCAAGTTTACCCTTAGGTATATGGCAAAGGCTAGCGTATGTCTGTGTTCACATTTGGTTTTTGCAATTTAATATATTTTGTTGAATCAGAACCATCGGTTATTATTTTTTAGATTAAATGAATCTTGTTGCTTGGGTTAGAGAATTAGGAGCTGGGTTCACCAATTAGAGGTTAGGATATATTATCATATCTCAAACTCCGTTTAATTTATGATCTAAATAGTAAAACTCGACGGGCGTACGCTAGCCTGAACCACACACACACATATATATATATATATATATATATATATATATATATATATATATATATATGGGGAGTTCTATATTTTAATAACAACAAGGGCAAAAGTGATCTTTCCCACAAAAAGTAAAAGAACTATCACCAAATCCAAACAATGCAAAGTACATTACATCATTTCCCTTAATTACATGTATATTACAATGAATGAATTAATCACAACAAATTGATTTAAGTATCATGAAAACCAAACGGCCCCTTAATCTCAAAAGCCTCCCCAAACAGATTTTTATTTGAGGGGCCATGTAAGAGATAAACCTCTTGCAAATATTTCCTCCAAGAGTTATTGTACCTAAGTGGTTTGTTGGTTTAATGATCAGGACGCATCGGCAAAGTGGGGTTTCTTCCAGGTCGTGAACCACGGTGTCCCGACAAGCACCCAGAACAGGATCAGAGCCGGGACGCACCAGTTCTTCAACCAGGACGCGGAAGCAAAGAAGGAGTACTTCCGCGCCGAGCCGATGTCAAAGGTCGTGTACACGTCTAACTACGGCCTATACACAGCTCCAGTTGCCTATTGGAGCGATGTGATACTGTTCAACATGGCGCCAGAGCCACTAGAGCCGGAGCAAATCCCGGCTTGCATAAGGGAAAACGTGCAGGACTTCTCTGAGGAAATATCCAAGGTCGGGGGCTTGATGCTGGAGCTACTGTCGGAGGCGTTGGGTCTTGCTGTGAATCACTTGAAGGAGGAGATGGGTTGCGCGGAAGGAATGGGATTAGCCTGCAACTACTATCCTCATTGTCCTCAGCCGAAGCTCGCTCTGGGAATCACCCACCACACTGATATTGGGTTCATCACGATTCTTTCCCAAGACCACGTCGGAGGTTTGCAAGTTGTTCATCGAGGTCACTGGGTCAATGTGCCTCCGGTTCTGGAGGCTTTAGTGGTCAACATCGGAGATATGCTTCAGGTACATGTTTGAATTTTGATGAATCGTTTAATTTACAACAAAGAAACTAGTACCCAACCACTATCAGACTAGAAACTAGTCTCAAACAAGTCATTTTGAGTGCTAGTCAATCAAAACTGGTCAAAATCGGAAAAAATCGGTGTTTGGATGACTTTTTGTGATTTCTCGCCTCAACTAGAAAATGTTGTTGTTTTGAAATGGAATGACCGAATGAGATGGGGTTAGAGTTTTAATGGGTTGCATATATATCTAATGTAAAAATGCTAAATGTAAGGTAAATTTATTTCAATCGTTAATTTTTTTTGAATTACTACCTTTTTATGTGTGTATATATATAAAAGATATATGACCGGTTCAAACAAGTTGGACCCTGATCAATCCATTGAATCTCAAACTGCTTACTTGACCAGCTCAACGCCTTAAAGCGGTTTGACAATATTGGATATACCATTTCCTAGATTTAGATACAAAATTTTATAGCATGATAAATTCATTTTTTTTGTAGCTGATATCGAACGATAAGTTTAAAAGTGTGGAGCATAGAGTGATCGTAAACAATCTTGAACCAAGAGTATCAACAATTTGTTCTTTTGGTAATGGGTTTACATTGAAATCAAGAATGTATGGACCTATAAAAGAGCTGTTATCGGAAGAAAATCCTCCCATATACCGAGAAATTTTCATTGAAGAATTCTTTTTCAAATCCTACAAAAAGGGCTTTGATGGTAACTCTTATCTGCCCCAACTTAAGCTCTGAGGTTCAATGTCTCTTTTAAACATGATCGATGACATAGTACAAGGGTCACTTCTTCTTCTTCTTCTTCATGTTTTGCAAGATTATTTTATAATAAAAGATCGGCCAACTATGGCGATAATGAGATGTGCACTATTGTAACTGATGTTTATGCATGCATGCCTGTGTCGGATCTGTGATGGTTTTTGTTTTTAAAAAGAGAGTACTATGCGTGTTTGTTCATTGAGTCTTTTCATTGTTGTGCTTCCTTTTCCCTTGTCCTCAATCCTTCTTCCTGGAACCTCAATGGATTGTGGATCAATGCGGACTATGGATCATGCGATTAAGTCGTCGATTTGGATATGGTTTGTTGTGATTTACAAAATAAGATAAATTCTCAATATGTTTATTTTTGGGTAAAGACTAATTATTAGGCTCACATTTTCTGTATTCTTTTTTATTAGTCAAATCTATTGAATTACAAATAATTAGTCAAATATCAATTTCCAGTTAGCAATTTTATTAGTAAATTTTTTTTTCAAGGCAAGCCCAAAGGGTATGGGACAAAGACTCGCCACGATTACAAGACCGACTATGATAGTCCGTATGCAACCAGACTACGATGAAAGAGCTTGTTAAGCCACTACTTGGGCAGCTCTGAAGAAGCTCCGAAGAGCAAAGACACGACACTGACAGGGAAAAAACAAAAATAAAACCCCAACATCTCCAAGATAGTCCCTCCAGCGAGTGTAGTTTCCTTCGACGAAGTATGCCGAATGACCAGTATCGAGGTACCACAAAAACCACAACAAAGAAAAGAAAAATGCATTAGCAATCTTTGACGGAACATGCTTTAATTGATCTCATAAATTTGATGAAGCGAATAAAATCGAACTATCACCTGATAGATCGATGAAAATTATTGCACGTCCTTCAATTATTTTCATACCATATGAGCACCTGCAAATGACTAACAAAAAGGCACGAAAATGGTGCTAAAAATCTCTATTATAAGATATTAAAACTTGCCCTTACGACAAAGTCGATATTATCGAAAATAGCCACCAATGATATAATTCAAGCTATTAAAAGATTTGTACATTATAATATTAATAAATATTTACTATAATAATTAAACACAAAAGAATGAATCCATTTATACCCTGAACTTAAAAAGTAAGGAATGAAATTAGTAATTTAAACATGTATTCCTACTTTAACTCCAAATAAATGACTAACAAAAGCTCAAACGAAGAAATGTCAATAATGATAAACTCATAACAATTATAAATATAAAAGGAAAATTAATTAGATTACTAAAATATATATATAGGTGGTTCAGGCTAGCGTACGCCCGTCGAGTTTTACTATTTAGATCACAAATTAAACGGACTTTGGGATATGATAATATATCCTAACCTCTAATTGGTGAACCCAGTTCCTAATTCTCTAACCCAAGCAACAAGATTCATTTAATCTAAAAAATAATAACCGATGGTTCTGATTCAACAAAATATATTAAATTGCAAAATCCAAATGTGAACATAGACATATGCTAGCCTTTGCCATATACCTAGGGGTAAAATTGGAACAAAAAAGGAACCAAACAATTCTCTCAAAACTATCGCAACAATCTCAAGTTTAGTAGAGATATTACTATCACTCATTTTGAGTGATAGTTTTCATCACGTCAAGCAAACAATGCATGTATTGTTTGTGCAGAAAATTAAAAAAAAAACAATGCATTATGGACAATGTTTGCATTGTAACTATTTCAACCAAACAATCACCAAAACCAAACAACTCTTAAGCATGTTATTTTTTATGGTGCCAAACCATTAGACTTTTTAGTTTGCGCAGGTTGAAACATATATTAGACTTTTTTTTGTCTATTACGCTGATTTTTTGGACGATTCATTTCCGCTCCACCGTCTCCGCGCCTTCCACAGGGTGTCCGAGGCCGTCCTTAGAGCCGTCAAGCCTCTTCCTTTCCACTCCTCCTCATGCGGTACCGTATCGACATTCGGATTGCGTAAGAAATCGCTTTGTATCACGCGGAGCCTCTCCCGGCGACTCCATTGGAAGAGGTTCTTCTGGCGAAAGGTCAAAGTTGGAGTCCTCCACAATCGGGAAGAAAATTACCAGCTGGAATGAAGTATCAGGAGCAAAGTGAAAAGGAAGAAGAAGATGAGGCGCCACAAGAAGTCATCAATTCCATCAAATGCTCCTCGTCCTAGAACCTATCAAACTTTCCTCTCGTTCCCAATCCAGCCCATTCCGCTCTGACCCGCCACAAGAACTCATCAAGTTCAGGGAGCTAATGTCTCGCCTCGACCCTATTGACAGATGACAGCTTCCGCCTCTCTCCTATTCCTCCATCTCGAATGGGCCCGGTTGATGAAATCACCCCTTTCTCCAACCCGAAGCCGCCACCGCCACAATAGAGGAGCTCTGGCCTCCCATCCAGGAAAACAGAGGGAAAATGATGCTCGGCCTTTGCCGCATTCAGATCTGGGTCTCTGCCGGAGAAAATTGAAGGAAAATGCAGTAGTTCCTTTCGTTCAGTGGCGCCGCCGCCGCCCGTGATTATTGCGACGACCGGGTGAGGTATCACCTGCACTGGTTGTTGAACGAATGGCAAGAAAAATGTAGAACTAGAGAGAATAGTTTTCAGATCTGGAAAAGAAAGTGGATAGATCCATGTTTTGTTTGAGTAGGTCGGTTTATGGGTCGGGTTGGTTCGTAGCTTGGGTTGGGTTAGGTTGGGTAAGGTGACATGGCAAGTTTTAATGACGTGGTGGGTCAGGTTTCATTAATTTTGGTTTAAATGAGGCTGATTAGACGATTCCGTCTGCCACATAAGCATATAACGGTCTAAATTAACAGAGACTGACGGAGACTATCGGAGAGTGACCAAACTTGGACGGTTTTACTAAATTTAGTGACCACAAATGGAATTAAATATTTTTAGTGACTAAATATGAACGTTTTTAGTAATCTCAGTGACCAACCTTGCAATTAACCCGTAAAAGTACATATTAACTTTAGAGGGGATTAACCTACCCACGCGCCATGTACTTGAGTGAGAGGGTAATATGCAAGATCCTAGACCTCCAATGATTTGCTGAACTTGTATGGGATTCATCCTACCTCAAGAGAGGATTTGTTGTGCCTCCTATGACTTGTTATGAATTTTAAAGAGTTCCCCCTATCTCTCTGGAGATTTTTATGGGTCTAGTGTGTAGCTCAAGACATCTATGACAATATCTCTTAATTGCCAAGGATTTCAATGGAGCTATATATTGCATCCCTCGCCAGAGGGACTTTGAAATGCTTACTCCCTAGTAGATTACATTTGCCTCTTCTTCTTCTTCATGCTTTGAAAAATTCTCGTGTGATAAAAGATCAACAACTATGGCGATAATGAGATGCACACTACTATTGTAACTGATGCATACGCCTTGGTCGGATATGTGTTGGTTTACTACTTTTTAAAAGACAATGCTATGTGTTTTTTTTCAGTTGAGTCTTCTCTTATCTCCTTTATAGTGCTTCCTCTTCCCTTGTCTCCAATCCTTCTTTGTGGAAACTCAATGGATCGTGGATCAATGCGATTAAGTCATCGATTTGAATCTAATTCGCCGTGATTTACAAAATAAGATAAATTCTCAATATGTTTATGAATTTTTTTAAACTAATTATACCACTTCTGCCACCCTCTATAACAATGGTAGGATGGTGGTGACGAGTGGTAGACAATGATAAATGATGATTTGTATGTTCTTACCGCCATGTTATTACTACCAATAATAATTTTGTTTTTGTTTATAGGCTTCCCTTTTCGGTCTTCCAATAGAAAATCTAGCATTTGCTGAGGTTGTAAGGGATTCATCCTACCTTTTGAGAGGATTTCTTGTGCCTCCAAAGAGCAGTTGCATCGACTGTCTCTTCCTCATTTCATAGTGAGGTGGCAATGTAATTTGCTCTTTCATTGTTGTAGCCCATCATTTCATTTCTGAAATAATTCTTGAAGTGAAACACCAAATGAAATTGCAAATGGGCCTTGTTCTCATGTTTTGTCTTCCGTTTTTATATTTTGGTTTTCCTTTATTTGTAAAATAATTTGGATAAATATTTAGTTGTATTACATAAGTGAATTGGACCCACATATGAAATAAAAAGTAGATTGCATTGATGCACGAGAAATGAAATTGATATGTTTTAAAATGATAAAAGTTGGTGAAGTGACATCATGGGGCCATATATGAAATAAAAATTTTACTTCATAGATGTGGATGGTCTAAAAAGGCTTGTTAGGAATTTTTAGGAGTTCTCCCAACTCTTTGGGGATTTTTATGGGTTTAGCCTTAATGGATTGCTAGGTTAAACGACAGCTTGTAGTAGACTGTACTGTGATGTGTAATGTACTGTTATGTAATCAATGGATGTATGCTTTTGTTTGTGTATTCTGCTAGTACTGTTCTATGTTAGTAGTGTTGAAAAAACAAAGGGACCATTCTTTGTGAAATTTACTGTGGGTCGGAAATGAAACAAAGTGATATAATCAATTAGCTGCAATTTCATCATTGTATCCTTTTCTTAATGTCAAAAACTGAAGCCTACAGAACCATATTTTAGCCCAAAGAGGAGCCCGTGTGCACAATTACACAAAAAAGGAGCCTAATTACTGTGTGCTATAAAGAATCCAATCATTCCATCTTTATTTGCAATATACGTGAACATTAAATTAACAATTTTTTTGAGAATATCTAAACATGGTTCAAACTTATTCGACCGCTATTGGTAATATAAGCAACTCATACTTTATTAGATGTCGCTTTTGTTTCTAAAGAGAGAAAATAGTGCATCTGACAATTTCTGCTATCAGATGACAACATATGATACAATACCATGATAATCACGATGGCATCCAAACAAGCATAGTAAGTGTTACTAACTCAAAATAGAGCTCTCGAGGAGATGCGATACCCTTAGCTAAGAATAAAAAGCACAATTCCCCTATGTTGATATAAATCACTTAAAATCAAGAGTTAACAATTGTTGACAATTAAAAGTATGTTGCATTCGTAAGTAATTCGCGCTAAGTAGCATCATGTCATTACATATTTACCTACAACATATACTAACACTAAATTAGTGATTATTTTAAGCAAAACTATTTATGATTCAAACTTATCTGACCATCATTGACAACACAAGCAGTTCACGCTACTATCAAACTTCAATTTTCCTTCTAAGAAAAGAAGACAAGTACACCAAACAAGTTCTACTATCATATGATAACATACTCTACAACACACCCGAATCATGAAAGCTATGACAGCAGTCTGCAGAATTACACCCAAAAGATATTTGCTTCCTCTACTGAACTCCAATCCATGTCATCCATACACCATGTTCACAAGATATCATTACAATCCATCATATGTAAGACAACTCCAAGGGCATATAACATCTTTCATCAGTACCCACCATGAGCCACAAACAAGAAGGTAGTAAGTTTAATCCTAAACAACATTGGTCTCTTGAAAATCCCATAAGAGTACAATTAGTTTCCAGGTTAAACCAATCACTAGAATAGTGAAGTCACCTTTTTTTTCAATCAACCACTGCGATCCTTTCTAGATCGACAAAATCCACTTCTCTTCCATGGCTGTTTCCTCCCAACTTCAGGAACGTTGTCAACATCACACCTTTCTTCGTGTATCTTCACCTGGATCAAACCCGATTCAGGCCTGTAACTGAACTCAATTTTGTCTCCGACAGCCACGTCGTTCGCAGCAGCCAAGGCACGCCACCCATTACTGAACCGTCTCTGAAGCCCCTTCCCTACCGAGATTACAGAAATTGTCCACATTTCCCAATTGGGTCCTGAAGTTGAACAGTTTTCTTCAGTGACAACTTCGTGGCTTCAGAAAATCTCACCGCCATGCACATCATATGGGCCAAAAAGAACGACAGTAGAGTGTTAATGTTTTGATTATTGAAAAAACCAGGGTTATGAAACTAGTGCAGGAAATGAACTTCAGAACTTGTACCATATAAGTAGAACGTTCCATGTGCTTGTTGTAAACGGTTTGGAAGGAATCAGCCAAACCTGGAGGAGTGTTGTTGCCAGAAGAATGGCCTTTTCTGGACTTTGCCTTTGTTGGAGCTCCTCGTTTCCTCTATAAACCTGTTTTTAACATTCACGAATCAAAGATAAGAAGACATTGGTATAATTAGTTAGCAAGAAAGAATTATACTCTGTTTTGAGAAGGAAAACAATGGCAAAAACAGGGAAATAGAGAGAGGGCAGAGAGTGAGAAAAACAAAGGATTGACCTTTTCTGGGTTTGAGTGATTTCTCTGTTTCAGGGTTCCTTTCATAGCTTGGACAAGGTTTCTTCCTTTCAGGATATGCAGCATCAACTCTCTTCCATGGCCGCTTCCCAAATCGAGAATCACTGCAAGCATTATTCTTTGGCTTATGTATCTTCACCTGGAAGACACCAGAACAATATATTAGCCAAACCTTTACGAAAATAATTTAATAGCCAAATCGTTAACTTTCCATCCGTTTGACTGTCAGTTAACTCTGATATGGCAAAGTGTAAAATGAGGTGGATTTTTTTTTGTGACGTGGCAAAAAGTCAAGTATTTGACCACTCCGTCTCTTCCCCACCTCGCCGGCCTCAGCCTTCAGCCCATCAAAATCTCTTCGCCACACTAGTGCGAGAATTCTATCGTCGTCGCCGGTGATGAAAAAACCTCCCCACCGCTTTGTTTTAGCTCCTGAATTCCAGATCTAACAACTCAGGTCTGGGTTATAGTCTTCGTTCCTCTGTTTCGCTCGTCGGTGGTCGTGTCCATTCGAATCTCCAAAAGTGAGGGCGATTTTGGGTTTCTTGTCAATCTCTGTGGGGTTCTGGATCCTGCGAGAAAGAGATGGTGGGAGGAGGGTAAGGGAGACAGATCACCCACGAAAGAAATGTTGTGGCGGGCAGTGGTTTGGGCCTGGGGCGCAAGGATTGGAGGTGGTGGGGGATGGGTTGTGGGCAACTGTTGGCAGCCGCGTGATTTGGTGAATAAGGTTTCGTATTTTGATTTTGATTGAGGGAGAAAGGAAGGGGAAAGGGCCGGGGTAGTTTAGTTTTATTTTTATTTGTAGAAATAATATTAAAAATAATAATGATCTATGTGGTAAAATTAAACAATTAATTTTTTGCCATGTCATCAAAAAGATTCCATATCACTAAAGAGTTTGCCACATCATAGTCAACTAACAGTTGACCGGGCGAAAAGTTAACGGTTTGGCTACTAAATTTTTTTCAAAAAGGTTTGGCAAATTTTTTTTTTAAATGAAAGATTTGGTTATTATATTGTATTTACCCTAAAAATAAGTACAATCCACATGCTTTTTTGGTGCAGATTTTTAATCCCTATCCCCGTCCTCCCAGCTTTTGAACACCTGAGGATAGGGTGTGCAACGGTTCGGTCTGGTCCAGACCAAACTCATGAGAATGGCGGTTCATTAGTGGAAAATATCTTAGGACCAAGGACTCGACCATCATTACGTTCTGTCATTTGGTCTGGTTAGGTCCGGTCCAAATATAAGTTCGATCCATCATTTCTTCAATAATTATAAAATTCATGTGGACCAAGAACCGAACCGCATTATAATCAATATGTTGCGGTCTGGTCCAAACTTTGGTTTAGTCCGGTGCGTTCCAGTCCCAGACCGAAGAATTGCACACCCCTACGCGAGGATAATCCCTATAATGCACATCATCTAAGATGAAATCAAAGTTAAGAGGTGGCGCACATGTATTGATGGTATAGGAAAGGTGATATCCATAAGTTCAGAGTTGTGCTCTTTTAAAATTTTGGTGGATAATGAAGGAGATGAAAAAAGGGTTAATACCTTATTTTGCCCCGAACTATACTCAAATTTTCTACTTTGGCCCGTGGTTTCTGAAATTGCTCCTCTGGGCTGAACTATGCACCATACTTTCTTGCTTGGCTCGACGCGGATTTTGAACGTCAAATTGGACGGTCAACTCCATTGACCGTAAGTCAAGTGCCAGGTCACTTGACATGTCAGCGAACCTGAAATAAAAAATTTGGATTTTGAATTTACAGAAAATAGCAAAAACTAATTATGATTATTGTTATTTGATAGCGAAAATTATTATTTTTATTAGATAAAAAATTAATTACAGAAATTCAAAATCTAAATATTTTATTTCGAGTTCGCTGACGTGGCAAGTGACATGGCTCTTGACTAACGTTCAATGGAGTTGACCGTCCAATTTGGTTAAAACCCACGCTGGGTCAAACAAGAAAGTATAGTGCATAGTTCGGGTCAGGGGAACAATTTCAGAAAACATGGGCCAAAGTAGAAAGTAAGGTTATAGTTCGGCCATGAGTTTCTAACCCAAAAAATAAAAATAAAAATGACATGCAACTAGGAGCTACTCACCAATGATAAAAATAAATGATTTCCTTTAGGAGTTGTGGCAAATGAAACCACAAATTATTTTTGGCATTCTACTTGAGGGATCTGCTTGCTAAGGGGCGAAGTCAACCACAGGATTAAATTTGTGATGTCTAAATTTAAAACCAGAGATAAGAAATGGATAAAAAAAAGGAGGGACTTATGCTACAAGCTATTTACCCAAATCAATTTCCTCCTTCACGCGAAACTTCGAATTTAAACAAATATGCATATACTCATTGGGGGCAATCGATTATGAAAATATTTCCAGAAATACAAATCAAAAGTAGAACCACTTTTGATTCTTGTATAAATTACCATATGGGCCCACAAATTTTGAAAAAAGACTTTTGGGTGGTATATATGAAAAATTTACATCTATTTTCTCAAGAGAATACTTATTTTTAATTTGTATATTGGTATTGATTGGATCGTTGTACGTACATACACTGATATTTGATTAATGAGTGTTCAACTCTTCTTTTAGCATAGATAAAAGTTACAATGAAAAAAGGTAAGCAAAATGATTCACAAGTTAATATCCTACCAAACAAAAAAATCACAAGCATCCAAACGCGTCACAGAAGGTAGAAATGGATGAGTGAGTCAATCAACTTTATGAATGAAATTGATGATCAAAGAAGAAAGGGCGAACAAAGAAAAAAGGAAAACCCTAAGTGCTGGGACCAATGACATTTAGTTTGCCAAATCTTTCACACAACGGTAAGTAAGAGAAACAGGAGGCTTTAGAAAGTTTCACCTGCATATTATTATAATATTAATAATATAGTTTTTCCACATGACAAGGACAAAGAAGCATTTAGGGTCCACAATTTTCTTTATTAAATCCTCCTTTGTTTTTTAAGATTATTGGTAGTGAATGAAATATCTTCCGAAGCATCTATTATTGTGAATGGTCGCCAGAAGGCACCTTACTTTGTAGCAACTTTGAATCTTTTGTTTGAAGCCTTCCAGATATCCAATCTTTCATCCATTGCCCTGCCTTTGTAGAAAAACATGCATACTTTCATGTGGTAGAGTCCTCTGGACTCCACTCTCATCCATGCTTCTAGAATTGATCTCCAAAGTAGGCTTCACAAATACGTTCCCATACTTAGCCATTTTTTGGCAGTTTCCCAGTTTTGGCATAGCCTTTTGATTAGGTTCAAAAATTATCTTCTAGACTTCCTATCGAGCTCCCATGGACTTCAATGTATAGAGGGACACTCTAGCTTCAAAACAAGCCATTAATCTCCAATTTCCATCAGACCAATTGTAAGATATGAATCTCCAAAGCAGGCACCATGAAACTTTTTTTATACAAACAACAAATTAGGTCGACCTAATCCTAAATGAGGTCGACCGAAAAGTTAAAATTACGCTGACTTGCAAGGCACCATAGGCGCACCCTAAATTGCATATGCAGTCTTATATGCATCTAAATGATGCAATTAGTCTCAAAACATAGCAGGGTGGTAACATTTGAAAACTACTCCAAAGTCGAAATAAATGTGGATGCATTTATTCATTTACTTTCCTATACACAACTTTTTATTTTATTTTTATGTAAACAGGTGCAAAGCACAACTATCTCAAATTTATAAATCCGGCGAATGATGAAGCTTCCAATAAAAGTCATACAAAAGTCAATATGCAATGTCCGGGTTTGAATCACAAACAAATAGTATGACCTAAACAGTGAGCTAAAAAAATTAGCTTCCCTAGATAGATGGATCTGAACCTGGCACGCTCTAATTCGGAGCTCCCTTATTGAGAGAATGAGGTTGGCATGCTTATGGTCTGCAACCCCATCCACCGAGAGCAAATAAATAGTTGTAGTTGAATCAAGCTGGAGTTAGACCTTTTTGTGTCTCGCATCCCAAGCAAGTTGGAGAACCCTGAGAGCGCCCAGAGCTCCGCTTGAGTGATGATACATCTTCCCAAGTTCATCAAGAAAGCCACCAATGAGCGGACACCACTTTTTGTGCACAAATGTACTGAAACAAACAATATTTTGTAAATAAAGATCACATAATTAAGGGACTTTTTGCTTATTGAATTTGTAAAATGAAAATTCCGATAGAATTTTCGGACTTGAGAAATGCAGGAAGGTAATAGATATGAGTCATTGTGGATTTGAAACTATGTTTGTTTATTGGATTTGAGATGGATTTTTTTATTTGGATTTTATCGGCTAAAATGTGAGTTTACTAGCTACCTTTAATTTTTTTATATAGACAAAAATTTTTAGGTGTGCTGCAATGAGCGGTAAAGTAAAATTTGGACTCGAAAGTTTGAGCCTTTTGAAGTAAGAGCACCCTGAACAAGTTCATGGTTTTCAAACATTTTTTGAGAGTCCCTTAATTCACAAGTCACTTGTTTTAGCTCCAGTAGTTGGCAAAGCCATAACTTGAGATTGCGTTACTCATCGAGGGGGTTAGGAGATTTCTTTTCTCTAGTTGACATCGTAAGTCACTAGTTGACCTCGACGATCAAGATTGCAAACTATTGTGGGAGTGTAGTGAGTTGCACTAGTTTGACTTAGATTTGCTTGGAGACAAGCAAACGGTTAAGTGTAGGAGAGTTTGATTTGAGCTTAATTATACATGTTTAGGCCCAAAATCCTAGATCCTTTGGATTGGTATTTGTTGTTCTCTAGCCTGAATATGGTGAATGAGTGATTATTGGAGGCAAAACCGGGATAAAGGAAAGCAAGGTGACACATGTCATGGCCCAAACATGACATTTGCAGAAGAGGCAGTGATAATTGACTAAGTTCCAAGAGCTTTTGCACATGTTGTGGGCTCTTCAAAAGTCACAGTTTTCAGAGGTGGCATTTACAAAAGAAGTCGTGTTTTTCACTAGACATTTACACTCGTCACGGTAGGCCAACACATGATGTGACTTGTGCACCTGATGCACTGTGTTTTTGGTCGACGTCACAATCACTATCAAACGTCACGATGGTGACGTGAAACTATGACTGGTGTAGTGCCTTGGGTATAAACATTGCTTCTGCGATATTGAAGAGGGGAGCTAGGTTTTTGGCCAAAAACACCAAAGGGGCATTATACAGAGAGAGATAGTGATATAGGAGGGTTCTTGTACCTAAACTGGAGGTACCCATCATCGTTGGAGCTAGAAAATCAACCCTAGACATGAAGATTAAAGATCTTGAGCTTTATATTGTATTCTCTATCTTCTCTGTGGAATAGTTCCCCTTCACTTGGAATTTGATTAACCCTAGACATGTTTAGCTTGGTTGAATGATTTTATGAGTGCTCTATCTTGATATTCTTGAGTTCATACACAATATATGCATATTTTGATGTTCAATTCTTCATTGATCAAGATTACTTGATTTGCTAATGACATGTGAGAGAGAATATATGATTAATTAGGTCAACTAGAGCGCCATGGATTGGAAGTAGGGGACCGATAACACGAGAGTGAGCCGATTTGTTCTTTGTATTTGTGAGGAACTTACCTAGTACAAGGGGGTCTACTGCCAAACGCCTTGATCCGTTGTTTTGGAGAAGGTTACAACCCTCTAAGCAACCAACTCAAGAGGGCCTTGACTTCTAGAATAAAGATTAATG